CCAGACTGTAATAAAAAGTTGATAAAACGTTTTACATTTCCCAAGTCGATCCAAAACTAGAATAATGTCACAGCTACCTTGATCGGGGATGGAGTTTGGCATCCCTCATCAAGGCAGCTGCCTGCACGTAAAGTATCAACTGCACTTTACAGCCCAATTCTAACTAGCCTTTTTTTTTTTTAACACCGTTCCACTGGCATATCATATATGCATCACACCGGGTGTTGGGGCCCCAACATGGGCTGTATGCATATATGCATCCTCTGGACCGCTGGTCTGTGCTGAGTGCTCACTAGCACGCTCTCAGCACAGTGACAGCTCCCAGTCATTGTTTACAATTGGAAGGTGGTGGGACCATCAGCCAATCACATCGATCACATGAGCCCACCTCTGATCTCTTTAAAGCGAGTTGGCTGGAAGGGGTTAAAGGAGAACTATGGGGTTAAGGCTTTTCCCCATAGTTCTCCTTAGGGTATCGGGAGGACACAAACTAGCGTCCTCCCATCACCCTAGGCTCAGTATATAGGGAGCTGTAGCTCGCGGTATACTGAGACGCCGCAGCTGAAACGGATCCCGACAATTATACCGGGATCCGCCCAGCTGCGTGACTGACAGCTGTCTCTGCCTATCTAGAGGCAGAGCCAGCTGTACCCGCCCCCTCCCCCGTCCATTCCGCCAGTCAGCGCTGGCGGGGAGGGGGGAATCCAGCCCCTCCCCTGTCACGGCAGAGAGCTGTGACAGGATCGAGAGGTGAGCGAGCGCCGGTATGTGTTCGCTCACTTCCCGATCTACTGAGCCGACCTGTGACAGTCTCATTGCCACAGGTCGGCTAGAACTATGAGGTGAGTGAAAAGCACCCGCCTCATAGTTCTCCTTTTAATAATAATCAGACCACACGTGGTTAAAACTAAAGAAAAGCAGTTGTCGCTGCCATGCTCACCCTATCTCCAGCACTGCCCTCCACAGACTCGCCGCTCTTTGATCCAGCTCCTGGTCCTCTTTTGGGTTGAAGACCGCTTAGCGTTAGCTACTTTCTGTAAGTTTGGGATGTCAGGGACCCGCCCCTTGGGAGCGCATCATCAAGCTAGCATTATTAGCATATTCCTATCAAACAACATACTGGGATAGACCTTGTCGGATAGGGTGCTGTATGAACTATCAACTGGTATCACATGACACATAAGTTTAATATGTCGTCATTACATCTTCTCATTGCAAAGTTGAAAGGTTTATTAGGCCATCGCATTACAGTGCCAAGTTTCTGTGCGGGGAAGGGCAGGGCTGGGAGTCAATCAGGTTGGTTGCATGCAAATGTTACAACAATGAACAATGCTGATAGGAGGAGAGAGCTGAATGAGCAGAGTGATAACCTCGCTGGTCTCCTGGTTCTCCTTCACTGCCCAATCAGCATCTAGGGTTGTAGAGAGGTAACCACTGTATTTGTGAATTGCAAGTGGGGTCATCTATATTTAATGTGTTTTGGTAGCAGGTAGGGTGACTTGCAGTCACCCCTTCTTGTGTATGATGCCTTTCTTCTCTCATCTCCTCCAGGAATTCCGCAGACTGTCCCTGCTGGGCTACCAACTGAACGAGGAAGAAGACGACTATTATTATGTGTCTTTAAGCCGTCATCACGCTCAGCGGGCAGACCACACAAGCGCACAACACCTGGATGTACAAGGACATGCAGCGTGGCATGAACCTGATGTCAACACAGCCACAGGGAGCGTGGATGAAGAGCTGCTGGGCAATGGACGCCCTGAAGACAAGGTGATCATACACAGTTATCGGCCTTAAGCCCGTGACACACTGCATGCAAAGGCGTGCAGAGCGAAGCAAAGCTGTCAGGAACAGAGCTTCGCATGCAGTGTGTGAGCAGAGTGCAGCCAGATGATTGACAGCACCTTCAGCCAATCGGCTCGCGCGTAACAACCGGATGGAGTTCTCATCGTGACGCGCAGGTTTATACGCGCGAGACGATTGACTGAAGATGACATTTTTCAGGCAGAAGTTTTCAAAATGCCTTGATGGGTGCATGTCAGCCTGGAGGAATGAGTGTAGCAAGGCTTCCTTTGCATGCATTGCACCCTAGGTGACGCCCACATGTGATACATAGCCTCCTTGATTGAAAGAACTGAACACCAATGAAATGAAAGGGAAGTACCAGAGAGAGTCAGGCGAAAGGGATAGATGATGATGGACGTCCTCCAGCCAGAAAATGAGGTGGGCTCTATCTGACTTGTTGCAGCTTCTAAAGCCCTGCTTGCAAAGCCGTGCAGAGCGAAGCCGAGCTGTCCGGCGCGGAGCTTCGCGTGCAGTGTTTAAGCCGAGTGCGGTCAGATGATTGACTGCACCTTCAGCCAATCAGCTTGTGCGTAGCAACCGGCCAGACGTCGCATCCTGACGCGCGGGTTTATATGCGCAAGCCGATTGGCTGAAGATGTGCCGGGGAGAAAAATTACATGAAACACTGCTCGCGAAGGCAGCGCACCAGTCCTCCGTGCTGCTTCACGTGGAGTGTGTCACGGCCTTTATTAACCCAATAAGGTTCATCTTTTCATTCCCCCGTTGCCTTATAGTAGAACAAAAGTGAATTCATTGGTCATTAAAAACACCAAGAATTGTTTTTCCTTTGTACATGATTATAGCCACACAAAGGTCTAAGGTCCTGTTCACATGAGTTTCAGGTCCTGATCACTTCCGGATCTGCAGACGCGGTGCTACTGATGCAGTGCGTTTTTTACGCGTTTGCGTTTCCTGACCGTACAAAAAGTGACATGCAGTATTTTTCTGTCGTAAGCTGAACGGACTGCGCACGTGAGAACTGTAGCCCATAAAACACATAGGGATACATTGGGATGCATTTTGAGTGCAGGAGCGTACGGATCAGGTCAGCACACAAAACGGACGTCGTGTGAACAGGCACTAAGAATACTTTGGCATGTATAACAAAGCCGTTTTTAACCCTCGCCTTCCTGACATTAGCTCTAGCTCTACTTTGAGTGCATTTCCTCTTTAAAAGCTAATGCCACATGTATAACAACTTACCTTTTATAATTACAGCCGGGTGCAGAGGATCCTGGGGGATGGGCGCAGGCTGCCCTGGAGGTATCCGATAGTGAAGTCTCCTCAATCATGTCGGGGATGTCTGCTCTGGAGCAAGGAGGAATATCTGCCACTGAAGCGTCCTTGAGTGACAGAGGCCACACGCCACCTAAAACATCATCAGAAGTCAGTCTGCCAGAGTCTGTACTGTCCGGGAATATGAACAGTGCAGGTAGATCCGCAATTCACACAATCTCTGCCAGCTACTTAAAGTTCATGTAAACCCTAATAATGACTTTCTCCTATTTGCTTAGTTTTGGTTTGTTAAATATACCATTCAAACAGACCTTTAGCTCCCATTCACACGAGTAACAGCCGGCCCGTACAGATGCGTGCTGCATGCACGGCCGCATCGGGCCGCTTCCGGGAAGGACAGGTGCTGCGTGTGATTGTACGCAGCAGCCTGTTCTTCTCTATGGGAGTACGCAGCCGTATGCCGCCCTACGATCACCCGAACTGCACGTCTGTGCGGGTGTCCGTGCTCGTACGCAGACAGGATGGATCCTGTGTGCGTCCGAGCAGGTAACACCCACACCCGTACGGACGTGCAGTTCGGGTGAGCTTAGGACGGCGTCCTCCCATAGGGAAGAACAGGCTGCTGCGTACAATCACACGCAGCACCTGTCCTTCCCAGGAGTGGCCCGATACGGCCGTGCACGCTGGACGGATCTGTACGGACCGACTCTTAGCCGTGTGAATGAGGCCTAAGACTTATGTTTGTAGGAATATGTCCCTATTGGAATATTTCATCTCTACTGCTATTCTGGTGACAACTCAGAATGATAGATTTCCCCTCACTGTCATGTCAGTAGTCACCAGGACAAATATTAAATCTCAGGGGGACAGAAACAGCAATAAAAACCTTGCAAGGGTTTTAATCCTTTCCTACTCTTTCAAAACCTTTA